TTAGCTGGAAGATACCTTGGTTTATAAATCAGTTAAGAAACATGATAGTTTTCTGATAACCCTTCTCATGAGATACAACAACTTGGTAAAACCAATAAGACAACTAGATTTGAATCATTAATCACCTTACTTGGATAGAATTCATAATTATTAATTTGTTTATTTTTTTTTACATTGTTACAGAACTTAGTTTTGGGCTTAAATCTAAAAAAATGCCCAAAATGAAATTAATCTTGACATTATTCTTTGGCACTACAATCGGATGTTATTATGAGAAGATTTCAACCCGTGCATCAATTTTTAAAGCTGATAGTTTAGTCTGCATTAGTATAACAGGATATCAAAATTTAACGCACCATGCTTGCTGCTAAAAGCGGATGCCCGTTGTCTTGGAATGACAGACCGTTCTTATCAACCTTCCTTGGAAAATAAACATCTTTTTGATTTGACGTATAGTACGGTTTGACTGTTCTGCTTGGATGCAGACAAGTGTATCCAGAATCCGTACATCTTTCTCCTGGTGACAGATGCAAGCCTAGGAAGAATGTTGTCTAAATATTTATGCAGATGCACTGATGTGTCACTGGTAGAAAAAGGAAAATCTCTGTTTCACAATAATTAGCGTTCTCATTTAGCATTTTCATGGCGGAGCCGAGCTGTTTGCGTTATTGATGGCTGCCTCTAAGTCAGCTCCTGCTCTCTGATGTCCCTCTGATTCTAAATGAAACTCCCATCTGAACAAAACTAGGTAGCATGGAGACACGAGGTACTCTGGGCAGCAATGCTTTCTTCACAGAGCAGAATATTGATGCGGGCACTTGGTTTGTCAGATGGATATAAATAAAAATAAGGCATCTCTCCTGGAATAATCCTTTCCCCCTTTTTTAATGCCAAGTATTTGCAAGATGCAAACGGTACTTCGTTCAGCTGTTGCCAGAAGCCTCTCTGCCCTTGGTGCTTGGGGGTGGGTGGGTGAAAAGGTATTATAATGTGAACAGAAGTAGTCTCGAGGCCTACAGCTGGCTAATAACAGAGTTGCATTGAGCGCAAGTGAGACCCACAGCTGTGACTTTTGCCACGAGGCTCAGACTAGACAGCAGCAGACAGGATCGGCTGAGCCAGTCAGCCAGCGAGCTTTAGGTCTTTATTGGCCAGATGGTGTGAATTTAGACACTTTTGTTATGCAATGCCAGGGAGGAGTTGAGGAGAAGAAAACAAAACAAAGGCCACCATGCTGGGGGCTTATTTCAGTTTGAAATTAGAGACAGATTTTTTTTTTTTAAGTTGAAAGCTGAATTTTAAAACCTTTTTTTGGAAGGGGAAGAGAAAAGATGTAAAACTTTCTTTGAGCAACGGAGATTTCTGGGACATCCTGATTCTTCACATTATACTTTGTGTAGTCCTGGTCATTTGTATAATAGCTTGCTGTTAAAACACAATATTAGACTGAGGAAAAAAAACCACAAGGAATTTATTAATATTTATTATTTATTTATTTGATTTGATTTGATTTGATTTGTCAATCGCTTACAAGATAATAGGTATAAGTATAAACATGAGTAAGAATACAGAAAATAGGTATGAATAAATGGGGACAAAAGGACAGGGACAGTAGGCATGATTGGGCACTTATTTTAATAAATAATATTTATTATTTATAATAAAAATATTTGTTTTAATAAAGCAAAAGGCTGACATGAGGTTCATAATCCAGATAGAGATTGGTCTAGTGAAGGTGTCCATTAAATCTTCATCTGGAATCTGGGTCACCTTCTCCAAGCTTGCAACTTGCAGCAGCTAAGATTAGAAATGAAGAAAAGAGAAACTGTTTTGTACTGGCTGGATTTATATATTCACAAACATATGGATTTGTATCAGCCATGATTTACTAACTACGCCTGAACAGACTAGAGTGATGTAATACCTAGCCACAATTTATGTTTTCCAAAGAACAGATCACACCTTCAAGGTAGCAGTGGTTTGCTTAGCCATGCTTCATAATGGGCCAGTCATCACAACACAACACAACAAACCTAAGATAAGCAAACTAGATTATGCCTTAGCTCAATGCGGGCAGCCTGTCTGAAGCTTATAAAGATGTATGAGTTCATTGCTAATTCATTGGTAAGAGTAGCTGGCTAAGGGATTCCAGAATTTCATGATGGGTTTTTTGCAATCTTTCCTGCAATACCAAGGATTGAACCCTGGCATGCAAAGCATAGTTTATGTCCTGATGAGAGAAGACACCATGTACCACAAAGCCCAGACACAAATCATATGAGGCTCACAACTCTTTGAGAAGATGGGCAGTCAAAAATGTAAATAAATAAATAAATAAGCTTTCCATGCAATATGGCCGAGCCATGCCAATGCAAGGCTCGAACCTGGCAAGGATTAAGAAAGAAAACTAATATAACCCTCATCTATACTCACAATTGAAAGCAAATGTATGTGTCCCAGGATCATGTTGGATTCAATCTGGGTCGGTCACCAGGACAAGAGGTTTTGTCTTCTGAGCTTTCAGACTTGTGCTGGAGCCGATTCTCAGGAAAACTTCTCTCAGGCTAGAGACAAGATTGTTGGATGAGCAGGCACAAAAACAGCCAGGAAGGTGATTGAAGCCTGGGAAACAGGCCCTTCGTCAGTCAACAGGAGATGTGGATTTACCACCAGCCTATTGAGTTCTTAGAAGGCAAGTGCTGGACAGCAGAAAGGAAGGACAGCCATCAACACATATTGATCAACATCTAAAAGTCACTCACAACAGACGCTATAAATAGCACACACAGAACAGCACACACTCTGCTAGAGGGAAGTTCCCTGAAGATGGGCTCCAGCACAAGTCTGAAAGCTCAGAAGACAAAAACCTCTGGTCTTGAGTCCCACCCAGATTGGATTCTCATCTATACTCTTTCCTGATAGAAGAAAAGTTTCATTGAATAAACCCAACCCATGGAAAGCATTTCATTTTTATTTTATTTTATATTATTTTATTTTTTATTTTATTTTATTATTAATTTTTTCCCAACTGCCCATCTTCCTCACACAGTTGTGAGCCTGGTATGATCTGTGTCTGGGCTTCGTGATACTCTTATAGTACGGCGGGTCAAATTTGTCAACTTTCAATTTCCAAACATTAGGGGTGATCAAAAGTTGTGCCTTGGGGATTGTAAAGATATTTTGGTTACTTTCATATAATTTAGATGCACTTGGTAAGAAGCTACATCAATATGATAACTTTTTAACCTTTCGTTTGCTTCCTTTGGGACCTAAACTATGCTTTGCATGGTAACGTTTCAATCCCTGGCAATGCAGGGTTTGAGTACCCAGCCTTTGTGATTTTGTAAGCCATGGTTTTTAATTTAGTCTACCCTGTTCAAGTTGGCTTTCATAATCTAGAGCCATAAGATGGTGGAATAGGCTTAGGTTGACCATCACTCATTATGTCCAAGCAGAAGGTTGAACCGTCCCATAGGCCATCTGGTGAACATTGTTCCCATTATAATATTGAGTACTGTAAATTATGGTAATTATTTATACATGCACATATTTAATGATAGTTGGAATCTCTAACCATTTCTGATTGTTAGGTCCATTTGGAATATAGCAAACCTGTTTTGACTCCTCTAACAAGTTTTTCAGTGCTTCATGATAGATGAGATCAGGAAACCAGAGATATGAATGTTAATGCCACTTTTACTGGAAGGTTACAGTAAAATAAATTTACAAGTCTAAATATGTTTCCCCACCACCTATATCTTTATGATAACTGAGGAAGGTCAAGTCTGAGGTGTGTCTTAAATTACTTTTCTGCCCTAGATTCAGATTTATTTTATCTGACTGTTGTCTTGGTTGTGTCTCTTCCTTCTGTTTCTCACGGTTATTCCTATTGCCAGTTACATTTCTAGAAGGATTGCCCATTTATATAAAAGAGCTGATATACGAGGTGTAACCAATCACCTGCCCTCAATTTCCCAAAATGTTATACGTTTTGGGAATGACCCTCTCAAGTTACTGTTGACTGTCCCAGCTTGTCCTGTTTCTGGTCATGTCAATTAATGAGTTGCAATGATTATCCTTTAAATTTCTAAGAAGAGTTAGTAGGAATTCTAAGGATTCCGAGTTATTCTTCTTTCTTTAAAAAAAATAATAATTAAAAATTCAGCTGTGGTAGGAGTTGGCATGCGCTAAGTGAGGTATCTGTATTCGCAGGCTTAGAGATTGTATTCAGTCAATACATTAAGTTGGGTAACTTTAACTTTTTTTTAAAGCCTCACTGTATTACACAAATCCAACTAGCGGTAATTAATTTATAATTTAATGTATGGTTCAAATTCAGAATATATAGAAGCACATGAAAATATAATTATCTGGCATTTATTCATGTATTTAATGTCTAATTTCTTGGAGTTTAGTATGTAAATGCCTAGGTTAAATTCTACTCCTTCAGCAATAATATCAGTTTTGCTGGAGATTGGCATCTTCTCTGTTATTCTTTAGCACAGGGGTATTAAACACAAGGCCCCTGGGCTAGATCCAACCAGCGATGTGGTCAGATCTGGCTGTGGAGCCGTCCTGGAAAGTGTAAGGGGCCAACCTGCGTAGCTTTGGCCTGGTTTACCCAATGCAAAGAGGAAACATGCCAGCAGTTTGGGGAGTGGCGTCAAGCTGGCTATGCCCACTCAGTTGGCCATGCCCACCCAGTCGGCCACATCCACCTGGCCCCTGAAATTGAGTTTGACACCCCTGGTTTAGCACTACCACTGTGGATGTGTAGGAAGCAGTGTTGAAGTTGCTCTTTAGCAGAAGCCTAGTATCTGTGACATTCCCCAGTTATTGTGGTTTGCGCACTTTTATCAGTTTTTAAAAAAATCATTAGCATGAACCACCCAATGCCTTTAAATTAAGGTACGTGAGTATAAAACCCCCCAGAAACAATTATGTAGCACCATATATTATAATGACTGAATTCTTTTCCTTTTGTGCTATTTCCTCGCCAGTCGTTGCTGTGAAAAGAAGAGCTGTGGAAATCGTAACGAGACTCCCTCAGACCCCGTGATCATTGATAGGTAGGAGATACAACTTCAATTCTTTTTTAAAGAAAGCCATCAAAATGTCCTACTTGTTGTATTCCTCCCAGCTGGACAAATTAAACCATCTTGATATTGTATGTCAAATATTGTTAATGCCAGTGCAATGCCATATTTTTGCAAAGTATTCTCAAAATGTCTGGACTTTCTTTAGAGGAATGTCTGCATATTATTGCTGAGGTTGCTGATGGTCTTGTTGTTACATAAGATTCCCCAGTTGCCTGTTTAAGCTTGCCAAAATATTCATTTCATGAAAGTATCACAAATGTTCTCCATTAAATGAAAGATGGTATCCAGAGGAAATTGTCTATCAGAATAGTCCTGCTATTTCATATGTGCTGTATCGTTGAATAATGAAGTTGCAGTCATGTTCTTGTGGAAAACTTGTTAGTCAAGTTTAAAATCCTCAATATCTAGCTATAATAGCTTTTGCATAAATTATTGCATATTCACGTTTGTTGATACTCGAAATCAGACTTTTTTGCACTGGGAAAATGCAGTACTAAGATAAAAACAGAGAATGGTTTTTCATGTTTTGCTCTTACTTGAGGCATGGTAGGTAAGAGAAATTTGAAACTATTGAAGCCCCAAATTGTGTGTGCATGGTTTTAGAAACCTACCACAGGTTAAAGAATGAAATGGTGTAGCACAAGCAGAATAAATGCATATGAACTGTTGGTGTTTGTAATTCTCTTTTCAAAAGTTTCGTAGAAAATGGTGTACACTTGGAGGAGATGTTTAGAGACAAATATTCTATAAATGATTTGGAGAAAGTTTCCTCTGAAATTTCATCCCTGATTAAAAACAGGATACAAAAGAAAACAACTGCCCAATACCATAGTTTTGTATAAATCATGCATTTGTTTTCCAGAGGGCGGGAAAGTGTGTCATCAGCTGGAAAATCGATGGAGAGCCTCAGAAACTCAATCTAAACTGAGATTTGATTTCTTTCTAAATTTATGTGTTCATTTGCAAGCTTCCTTCCTTCTATTTTCATACTCGTTTGAAACCCGCCCTGAAAAGTAGTTTGCAAATATCATCTAGCTTGTGTTTGCCATTCACAGTTTTTCAAACAATTACCCAATGTATTCTATTTGTAGACTTGTTCATGACTATCAACTTGGCTTGTCTGAAATATTCATTGTCATAATATTGTGGGAGAAATTTAGATTGCCTAAAATTGTCAAATCGTGTGATATTAAATGAAAAGTCCTCTTCAGCTCACAGTTTGGGCCAGATGTATTAAAATCACATATAACTTCTGGATTATGAGCCTTGGAGAGTGCTTTTAGATAACCCTAAGCTTATTTATTTATTTATTCATGATATTTATATGGCCTTCCATCTTGTGAAAAAGTGGCTCTGGATGGCCTAAATAAGATTATAAAACAACCTATTTTTTTTTAATTGAAAGGTTAAGAGAGGACAGTGGATTTTAACAATAATGGAGTCTCACTATTTCTTTATAAATAATGAAAGATCATCACTGTGATGGAAAAAAGCAATCAAGACTTGCCAGCTAATTATCATCTTATCAACTTCTTAAGCATAATAAGTCAGCTTTATGCCAGCCACTTACATAATAAATTGTCCAATTGGGTCAGTTCAGGGTATATTTGGCAAGTAAATAGGCAGGTTTTAGAGTTGGGCACCCTTAGACCACATTCTTTTGTCAGACCACAATATTTATGTGAGCCAGGTTCTGTATGATGTATCACATTCATAGACTTCAGGGCTACACTTGCCCTCATTTCCAGAATAAAGTTATGGGTAAATGCATGCATGCTACAAAATATAGTTAATCCTGTTAATGCTCAGACTCCATGGGAGCTTCAGAATAAAAGTTTGTTGCAGCACGGAAAGCAGCTATATTAAAGAAATTTCAAATTAAAGAAGAGTAAGACAGGAATGCATTTAGCCTCCCACATTTTTCCATTTGCAGATAACCCCTCTTGTGGCCAAAAATAAATAATTTGGAGCATCACCCCCGACTCTAAAGTAGCTAATAAACACATTGTAATCTTATTGCATACAGATAATGTAATGCTTCAATCATAAGCAGCGGCTGGAGAATCCTAGCCACTTTTTTCCCCTCAAGAAAGCACTTGAGATTATATTAAAATTAAGTTCTTAATAAAGATCTTAGCAAAGTGACCTAAAATACAGGACTGGGGGGGGGGGGGGGGGGGGGGGGGTCGGGCAATGCCAAAAAGCATGACTTTTTCCAGGTGCCTTCAAGCACAAAGCCACCAACATTTTGTACAGTGGTACCTCTGTACACATCATTCATTAGTTCTAGTAGGTGTCATGCCCCTGTCGGAATTTGATTTTGAGGGAGAGGCCGAGCAGCTGACAGGGAGTGGGAGTGTGGCTCCATTGGCTGTGGAAGAAATTGGGGAAGGGCAAAGTCTGGCTGGGCAGAGCAGGGGGAGGTAGACCAAGGGAGAGAGAATTCAGAGGAAGATCCAGGCTCACCTGATCTTCATCCTAGGACATGCAAGGAAGAATGGAGAAGGGAGCAATGTGAGTTGCATGGCTTACAGGGGAGGAAAGGGCCCTGATTCCCTTCATTAGCTGAAGCTGGGAATACAGTGTTTAAAAAGGGATGTTGCGCACACAGCAAACTGTTGAGAGCAAATCGTGAATTATTGTCAAGGCTTATCTAAGTTCCTGGCATCTTCTCAACTGTGTGTAGTTTGCTGGTCTTTCAAGTCTGCAATTCCTTCTCCTGCCCTGTGAAGTTAATTGCTGCAGCATGGTTTGTGTGGATTTTTATTTACAGTTTGTATGTACTTTGTTTTTGGACTGAATTTCCTTCACTTAAAGACTATTTTTGGGAGAGTTTGTTCTCCAGCCGAAGGTAACCTGGACATTGGGGGCAAAGTTGGAGGTACTAAAGGGACTGTTCTTACTTATGTGACTTTGCTGCCTTTGTGCCATGCTCTGAGTCATCACAGTAGGTGTGACAACTACTAAAAAGGACGAGTCCCAAGCAAACGATGTGACTTACCACATGACTTTTTGTTTCAGCTGGGAAGAACTTTTTGTCTGTCCCTTTTCCTATGTTAGTGACTTTTCCAGCATGGCCAACCTCCTGTCTGCCCTCTGTGGCCATCTCCCTCCTTTTGAGGAGACCTTCCCAGCATGGCCGATTCCTGTCCATTCTCCACAGCCATCCTCCTCTTCCTATCACAGTGCATAGAATACTAAACTAACACCAAGTATTGGGACAATGTTTTTGTGTCAAAATGCGCTGAGTACCAAATTTGATGGGGTTTTGAAGCAGTCAAGTACTGAGGTACCACTGTAACTAAAAATGCATTTCTATTTTGTTCTATTATTATTTTCCACTCTATTTCATATTTTCTCCTCTCCTCTCCTCTCCTCTCCTCTCCTCTCCTCATATTGCAGCAGAATAATCTTTCCACTTCACCACAGGGACATACACAGTATTCCAGGAGTGCTAAAGTAACATCTGACTAAGGCATGTATATAACTTCTGAGGATGGGCTATAATCAAATCCTCACAGACTTACAATGTCAACTGGGGACCAGAATTTCCATTACTAACAAGACGGTTGTTATGTGAGTGATGCCTGATTTTATGACCTTTTTTGGCATAGTTGTTAAGCAAATCACTGTCATTGTTAAATGAATCAGGTGGTCATTAAGCAAATCCCCCATTAATTTTGGGGGGTGTTGATCACAAATGTTGATCCTATGATCCTGGGATTCTGCAATCATTGTAAATACCTGCTGGTTGCCAACTGGCCAAATTTTGACCACATGACTGTGGAGAAGCTGCCACAGTTCTAAGTGTGAGGATCGCTTGTAAGTTCCTTTTTTCAGTGTTGTTGTAACCTCTACACAAATATTGCAAGGTGAGGATTACCTGTTACCCCATACAAAAGCAATATACTTGGAAGTCTAATTGGGTCAATCTACCCAACCTCAGATTGTGTTCCTGAATGGTGATGTGATTCCCCTTATTTTATGCTGCAAGACACTTAAAGCAAACAACTCTCTCTGAATTCCAAGGAGCACTAACATTAGCACTTTTCAATATCCTCCTAACAGCTGTTCTCAAGGGCAAATATTAAAAAAACCCTTTACGAGCTAAGATTGTGCCCTTGTGAAGAAGGAACCATTCAATTGCTAGTTCATTCCTGTGATATTTGTTTTTCTATAAGGACATAAGTGTCCACTTTATGACTTCCTATCTGGCAAGACACTCAAAGAATTCAGATTTATTTTATGTACACTTTCTATGATGAGATGAGTATAATAATTCTGTTCCATTGAATGTGGCTAAATTCTGTTATAGTATCCATAAGGCTGTGTGTCCTTTTATTGCCTCAATGATCTAGTTATAATTTTATATTAGCATTTTATTTTATTTGATATAGAAACTAATTATTTTAATTATTTTTGAATCTTGTAGAATTCTAGTCAGTGATTGTAATAACACCTACTTCTAATTATTTCTAAGAATTTAGGAATTCAGTATTCATTTGGAATATTTTGTATTAGTGAATCAATGCAAAGAGACTTTAAATTATTAACTATTTCTTATGATCTTAAGAGGAGATTGACTGAATGAAAGCCATTTCATGTCTATAAAATGCACTAGAGAATATTTTTAAAAGGCGGTTTATCAAAATCATTATGTTGGAAATGTAACTAGTGGATTCTTGTCCATATAATGTTGGCTGGTTCTATTAAGTGTTCTGGGTTGGATGGAAATCCATAAGATTGTTGCTTTGGTTTTACAATTAAAGGATATGGATATACTTCTGAATCTGGAATTTTTCACTATATAGAGACCTATGGATTTTTTAAATGCAAGATAGCATAAAAATGATGGAAAATTGTAGCCCTGGATCATAGATAAAAGTTTGCTTTCTGGTTTTGGCTAATGTAAAGATGATAATTAATATTGTATAGTTTGGTCAAGGTTTAATGAATTGTTTAAGCACTGA